AAGTGAAAGAAATGTCAGGGGGCTACTGCAACATTCTGGGCAAAAAAATGGGTAGTGGCCTGCTCACAACCTCTTCCCTCAGATAGTCTCCCCCACTATCACCTCCAGGAAGTAAGTGGAAGGGCCTGACTAAGCCCATTCCTTAGGGCATAGACCGGCCCACTCCAACAGTGTTGCTGAAGTCTACCTGTTGTCCACCTTCATCTTTATCATGTCATCACTGTTAATACACTTGTTAACAACAGATATTGAGCATTTTCTGGGATATGGCCCTGGGTCAGGTTCATGGATAGAGATGGATTAAAGGGAAAAAAATGAACCTTTTTATCACTGAACACCTTCTAAGTCCTCAGCACCACACCTTTTCCCAGGGGTGAAGGGGTGGGTACCAAGGAAGCATAAGCCACTGCCTCCTGACTTGGACTCCTCCGTGGACCTTGCAGAGCAGAATGACCTGCAGCTGACCAGTTCATTCTGGGGTCTTAGAAAGTAATTGGAAAGGTTGAGAGAACAGGCTCTAGGCTGGGCCTCCATTCTGTTGGAGAAGCAGCAGCTACTGTGTGCAGGAGGAAGGAGCTGCTGCTGTCTTCAGGCAAGCTTGGCTATTTGACAAATGAGAGTCATTTTCTTATGTATGAGAAAGAGATCGCTGCTGTGGGCACCCACCTGTTTGTGTGTGGCCTGATTTGTTGAGCTGCTGCCCTGGGGCTCGTTCAGGGACAAGAGCATCAGTGGAAATAGTATGGTAAGGCAGGCGCCAGAGCAGACTTAAATAGTGGCATCTTTTCAGCTGGCAACCAGCAGTCAGAGCTTTGAATCAGCTTCATAATTTGAAAATTGATCTCTTTGCATTGGGTGATTTATTTGGTGCTAACAAAAGCCATCAAGGACACACTACTGCTTGCCTTTCATCCATGGCACTGCTCTGGATTAAAAAATGTTGAGTCTGAGATGGAGATTTTTCATTTCTGGGATTCTTGTAGAATTGTGCCCCTTGTTGTGGTGGACCTGGTGGTACTCATAGAGCCTCCAGTCTAGGGGGGGGGGGGCAGGGAAATTGCTTGGAGAAGAGGAAGCCAAGCTGGAACTTGGAGTATAGCCCTAGTGGAGGAGCCTCGAGGGGCCCCGCCTGCCTCACCCGGTGTGTGGCTTTGTGTGGCAGTGTCCTTAGTCATGTCACAGGGCTACAGCCATGCTCAGAGCTGCCAGGACCAAAATACTGAAGGCTGTTTTCTTGTCTTCCAGCTGGGGAGAGGTTGAAATTCCATTTTTCCCCACGGGCTTATTCGTATGTGCTTTCTCCAGATGGAGTGCTCCAGAGAGGTCCTTGTGCTCTGGGAACGGTTCACAATGTGAATGAGGTCACCCACGGTGAGGGGTGGCTCACAAGGCAGCCTACCAAGGCGTGGCTTTCAGAACCCCTCTTGGCTCTCTGGAGTTACAGCCATTTAGCCATGGTCTCCACACCCCACACACAGCCTTTCCAAGGCCATGGATATGCTCTCATGCTGGTGCTTCCTGACTTCTTTCCAAGCGTTGTCCCAATACTCCTTGGTTTTCGGGACTGGCAAGTGGTGTGAGAGAGGGTGATTTATAATGCTTGCGGGTGAGTACAAAGATTAGAGTGTGAAGACAGTAGAAAGGCGTGAAGTGTTGAGGGCTTGTGTGAGGAGAGAATGGAGAACTGGGAAGAATGATGGTTGAGACATGGCTGCTTTTACTTAGGTGAGGGAAGAGAAGTAAGTCCAGGAATAAAATAGTCTATTAAGCATTGTCAGTACCAAACTGAGAAGGAAGGAAAAATGATGTATCTCAGATTGAACGGACACAGAATTGCAGCCCAGTCTGGTGAACCCAGTAAGACAAGAGAGGAGGTTGGGCTCAGTCACTCCAATGCAGCAAATAGGAACAGGAACACCTTGCACTGTCATTCATCCCAAAGTTCCCAGGGTTACTAATGGGCTGTTCATGTAGTGGATGCTGTTCTGTGAAGATCATATAAAGGATGTTCTTGGGATCAGAAATTCAACCTCTTCAACCTCAAGGCCCATAAACCAGTAGGAGGTGTGTGCTTTGTTTGTGGCCACATATGTGAGCACGCACGTGGGTATGCATGTGGACTGTGTGTATGAGATCTGAGGAGGTGGAGGATAGTCTAGCATTTAACTGTGAGTCCTGTGTGTGCTGCAGAAATCTTCCATTGTCTCACTTTGTGACCTTTAATGAGTCATACGCTCCTTTGTTTTCTTATGTGTTAAATGGAGATACTCATGCTTGCTGGTTGTTAAAACAGTTCTCGTGCTCCAGGTGCCTTTATTAATTTCAATTCTCTCTTCTAGTTTTTTCCTCTGGGATCTTATAAGAAAGGAGAAGGCACATACTTATTGGGGTCTTCCTAGCTCTATACTTAAGCTCCATGAAGTAAGTGCAGGGAAGTATGTGAGAGACAAGACTTCTAGGAAGTGCTGGGTTCTCCATGATTCTGACATTCTGGTTAACATACTTTACCCCTGAGGGTATGGCAGCTGCCTGGAGCAGCTGGGGCAGAGGAAAGGCGGAGGGTGAAGGGAATATACTGTGCAAAGGGAGTCATTGTCATGTTGAGAATATAGCCATGGATTGAGTATAGCAAAGAGACAATTTTCTAGTCCTTAGGGGTTGGGAGTGAGGCTCTAATGCTACAGGGACCAGATGGCAATAGTGCAGGAGGTAACTGTTGGGACAAGAAGTCAGTAGACCAGTTGGCACTAAAGAAGACCTGATGTGCTCATCTTGGTATCATACAGGGTGGTAAATATGTGGCATCTGCAATACCATTCCCTACCATTTGTGCCCTTGCAGACATCACTGATCTATCATGATATACTCTCCTGTTGTGCTCAGAAAAGTCTTAGAATCCTTTAGGTACAGAATTTTGGACAGTGATTGGCATCAGAGTGGAAACTGACTGTCACTGGGGTGATGATGGAAAGGATGTAGACTTTGGAATCTGGCAGAAATGACACCCCAGCCACGTTTGAGCTTATGGCACTGAGCACACATATTAGCCAGGTGTATTTTGGTTGCCAGGGACAGAAACTCAATTCAAATTAGCTTAATCTAATTTACTTAAGTACTAAAACCAGAAAGCTCAGGGTAAGGCTAGCATCAGGCTGGATGCAGGAGCCCAATGAGGTTGGTAGAGTCTGTCTCTAGAATAGATGTTCTCTGGGTGAATACGTTCTCACTGGCTGAGCTGGGTCATGTGCTCATCTCTGAACTGGTTCCTGTGGACAGGGCTGGTGGTAGGGATGATAGAGTCCAGATAGCAGGTCACACTGGGAGCAACAGTTATCTTAAAGCCAAATTTAGATGAATCAGCCCCTGGTAAAAGCTGGGGAGAGGTGATTGGCAGAGCACCAAGTTTTCGTCTGAATCCTGGTGGGTTGCAGTGAGGAGAGGTAAGGGCTCCACTGGGTAACTGTTTCTGGACTCAGCAGCTTCCCTTATGTACACTGAGCAGAGAGGAGGATTATGGTGGGGGGACTGGAAGTGATGTATGTGCAACTGGTCTGCCTGCTCCAGCCCCAATCTTCCAGGCAACTGATATGGCATCCCGATGCCCGGCTCTCTGCCCACAGTAGCACCCCATTCCCTGCAGCCCCTCTTGATCCTGATGCACCTGGCCAGTTGACAGATCTCAAGGTCATGCTTCTGTTCTGGGGCATTCAGGTTTGGGCCCAGGCTGAGCTGATTACCTGGCAAACCTTGGAGGATTCTGGGGGAAGCATCAGGCCGACCAGGGTATGTGTGGTATCTTAGGGACAGTCTTGAAGGCTCCAGAGCACTGCAGATGTCCCTACTCTGGACTTCACTGGTTCCTACTCAGGTGTCCTTCCTGCAGTGCCCTTCTACCCCACCCTGCCAACTTGTCACAGGAAAGGCTGGCTGGGTGGTTCTGGCTTGGGGTCTCATGTAGTTGCAGTCAGATGGTGACCAGAGCAGCTGAAGGCTGGCTGGGAATCTGTCCCTCTGCATGCGGTCTCTCTATGTAGGGCTGGTGGGCTTCCTCATAGCAACCAGGCTACCTTGCAGAGTGTTTGGCTTCCCTGAGGGTGAGCATCCAGAGAGAGTCAGGTGGATGCAATGTTATCGTCACTTCTGCTGTACTTTATTGGTCAAAACAATCACCAAAAGCCAACCCATTTCAGGAGAAGGGTATATATAGATCCTGTTTCTCAATGGGAGGCAGATGTCAAAAGATGGGCTGACATGATTTAAAACCATCACAGTCCCCTACCCCCTCCTATTAAACCAGCTCTCAATGTCCTGATGGGTTTAAGGTACCTGGATGTAACCTTACTTTGGTCCAACCCCCTCATTTTGTTCATATATATATATATATATATATATATAGAGAGAGAGAGAGAGAGAGAGAGAGAGAGAGAGGGCGAGCTCAGGTACAGAGATTTGAGTGAATCAAACTCTTCAATTCTTTGGGCATTTGTCATTGATCCATACGATAGCTCTCTTATTCACTTCATTCATTCATTTTTCTTTTTATCTCCATATCCTACTCCCATTTTCCTCCTCACCTTCCTTAAATAATCAGCCATTCTCTTTAATGAATATCATTTTATTTATTCTTATATAAATGTATTTTAATTTACATATATTGCATTGTGTATTTACCTTTTTCTGTATCCTGCCTTTCTCTCACACTGCTTCTGAGATCCATATATGTTATAATACACATCTTTATGTCATGTCTGTCAAAATGGGGCAATGAGACTAGAGAAGGGGAATGACAAATGCAAGGTCACACAGCTGAACCAGGACTAGAACAGATTTCCGGACTCTCTTTTCTCAGCACCACACACTGTGTTTCCATGTTCCCCTTCCAAACTGCAATAGTTTGAAATAAGGTCTCTAAGTAATTGTGAATCTGGGATCCAGAGCATATCACAAGCTCTACTGTTTTCTCCCTGGTGACTGTTGTCCTCTGTACTCTTCTCCTGCAGGTTCCAACTATGGGAGCCCACGCCCAGCTCATGCCAACATGAATGCCAATGCAGCGGCAGGGCTTGCCCCCGAGCACATCCCCACTCCAGGGGCGGCCCTGTCCTGGCAGGCAGCCATTGATGCGGCCCGGCAGGCTAAGTTGATGGGAAGCGCTGGCAACGCGACCATCTCCACAGTCAGCTCCACACAGCGGAAGCGGCAGCAGTATGGGAAGCCCAAGAAGCAGGGCAGCACCACTGCCACACGCCCACCTCGTGCCCTGCTCTGCCTGACTCTGAAGAACCCCATCCGGAGGGCATGCATCAGCATTGTCGAATGGAAATATCCTTTGTGCCCTGGTCTGGGCAGAGTGTGTGCCCCAGTAGGGCCAGCCCCCCAGTACCTACCAGCCAGTGGGCTGTGTTGTCCCTGCTGAGCCTATAAGTGTTATCTGACCTGTTGCATTTATTGGGGCACTGTAAAATGCAGAGTTCCAGGTGCAGCTCCAGACTTGGTGAATCAGAGTCTCTGGGGATAGGACTTGGAATCTGCTTGTATAACAAGCTCCCCAGGTGTTTGTTTCTTTGCATGTTTTTTCATATAATAAGCAACATTTGAGAAAATGAGCCTACGAGGTTATGACATATCATCTTACCTGGCTGAGCTTGCCCAGGGACCCACGTGTTGGGTTAAGTGGTTTCATGCTGCTACTCCACAGCCTTCTTTTCCTACCATGTCATGGCGCTGGCATAGTTTCATGACCTCCCTCTCTCTAGGGCAGTGGTTCTCAACCTTCCTAATGTGTGACCCTTTAATACAGTTCCTCATGTTGTGGTGACCCCCAATTTCATTGTTACAAATTGAACATAATTAAAGCATAGTGATTAATCACAAAAACAATATGTAATTATATCTGTGTTTTCTGATGGTCTTAGGCGACCCCTGTGAAAGGGTCGTTCGACCCCCAAAGGGGTTGTGACCCACAGTTTGAAAACCGCGGCTCTATGGTGAAGGAGCCTAGGAAATGCAAGATGGTGGTGGTCAGGGACTGCAGCTCTTGGTTCAAGGCCTCGGACAGTGACTCTCAACCTTGGCTGCACCTTAGCATCACCTGGAAAGCTGTAACAAAATACAGGTGCCTGAGCTCCACCCAACATATTTTTAAAATTCTCCAGATGATTCTAACGTGCAGTCAAAGTGGAGATTCTGACCTGCAGTGTTAAACACAGAACCACTCTGTATGGAAATGAGTGACTGGGTCTTTGAGAGAAAATGGCTTTCTTTGAAAGGTTGGGCTCTCACTGTAGTCACAGGCCCCTTGACATTGTGGGAATTGTGGGTGGAGCTGGAAAGGACCTTAAAGATCAGTAGGTCCACTCCTGACTTTCCTTAGTGATGACATTGAGCGCCACGAAAGTGGCTCTCAGGTTCATATGGTTGGTGACAGACAGGACTAGAACCTGGTATTATTGTTGGGCATTTTTATAATAAGAAGTCATTCAGGCTGGGCTACTGTGGCTCTGAAGGTTCAGGATGGGAGTGTTAGGTTTCATTCATGAATTTTTATGGAAAAATTTAAAAGTCTTGGGTAGTGGTTGAAAGGCCAAAGAAGATGACTCAGGGAGAGAAGAAAGTTTGTATTTAGGAAGAAATGTTAGTTCTACAAATGTTTGAACCCCTGAACTAAAAAATAACTTTAAGAGATGCAGTTCAAGCCGAGTGGCTGCTCCACAGCTGGCCAGTCTGTCATGAGTGGCCAGGTGTGGATCTGGTTCTCAGATGACTGGGCAGGAGGCTTGGCTTTTTTGGCCTCATCAGGCCACTGTCAAAGCTGCTCCCTCAGAATTGTGGAGGTGGAGGGCTGGGGGCCCTGAATGCCAGGCTTCTCTAGAGATGGGGGGCACTGGGGCCTGGAGAAGCTGCGGAACTTTCCCAGACCACACAGCTGGCAGCTGACAGTGGGCTTTCAAATCCAGGTTCCCCAATTCCCAAATCCATGCACTTCCTACAGCCCACACCCCCATAGCACAGAAGAGAGGTACTAGGGTGGATGTTCAGGGGGCGCCATCCAGATTAGCAAGGGCTGCAGAATCTGCGCATGTGGAAGCACGCTCAGAAAATCTACCTTAGGAGACGTTTCAGTGAGTGCTAGTTAACCTCCTGGGATGCATGGGTCCCTGGTGCTGGTGCCATACAAAGCCTGGGAAGAAGGGGAGAGAGGAGAGGCAAGAGTAATATACAGGGTAGGTGGGGGAAGAGTGGTCAGGTCCAGTATGCCAACTACGGGCCTCAGCCACCTCGTTGCACTGCTCCCCACATACTTGGGCAGAGGGGTGCTGCAGCCACTCTCCAGGGGTATGTGTCCTCCATCCACAGGAGAGGAAGTAGACCCGGTCTTGGTAGGTGGTTGGTGGCATTCCCAGATAGCCTTTGAAGGGTAGCTGATGGGGAAGGAGATGGTCTGGTGTACTAGCCAGTCAGTGCTCTTGAAAGAGTGGAATTTGATGCTGTCATTAAGAAGAGAAGGCAGTTTAAAAAATGATCTGGGTGTCTTGGGTCACTGAACACTTGCAGGGCTTACCTGGTCCTCCACAGCTAATAGCTTTTCTTATCTGCCTGATTGGTTTCTTTACTCAAAATCTTCCCCAGCTGTAGCCAGTACTTTTAGCGTAAGGTGATGGATGGATAACTGGATGGGCAGGAGGTGGAACTTACAGTGCAAGAAACACCCCAAGTGTAGCCCTCCTCCACTCTGGGACCAAGCTGACATTCTGAGGACGATGTGTGAGGTCTGGCCTAGTTGAGTTAATGTGCCCTTGCCCTGGGGGCAGTGAGGGAGCACAGAGGATTAGATGATGGAAACCAAACTGACCAGCCTTTGGGCTGAATGTCACTCTCCTAAGCAGGTGGGGAAAGGCTAGGAGGGAAGAGGAATGTGTAGGAGGGCTAAAAGAACTAACTTCCTTAAATGCTTCAGGGTAACTTCAGGATAGATCAGTGTAGAGTTGTCCTTACAAACCCAGACCCTGGAGCCAGGCTTCCTGGGTTTGAAGCCATCCTTCCACGACCTCTGTGACTTTGGACAAGTTAACCTTTAATTTTTCACTTAGAAATGAGAATAATAATTGTGCATTCCACTCAGGATATTTATGTAGAGCAGTTAGAACAGTGCCTGGTACAGAGTAAGTTCCCAATAAATGTTAGCTATGTCCTCCCTGTTGCCATCACCATTGTCATCTTCAACATCACCACCATCCTCACTTGTTCCTTGGCCAACTCAAGGAGCAGCAGGCGTGTTGGAAAAGATGAGTCAGTAGGTCTGGTTCTGATCCTGGCTCTGGTATTTCCCAGCTTGGGGTCTGGGAGAGGTTGTTTTATTTTCTCTGTCTGTCAAGCTGGGAGGTTGGACAGGCCCAGTGCATGCTTTATTTTTTACATCAAAGCACAGAAAATGGCGACTTTATGAAGTATGCTCCATAAATGCACCCCCAGTTGCACCCATATGGCCAAGGGGGATCAATAACGAGCACACTGGCTGGGAAGCCTGGACTAGATTATCACTAAGATGCCTTCCCGGCTCAGGGTCGCCTGTTAACAGAAGTTAGAGGCCATCTATGACAAGGGAATGAGCGCTGGACTGAGAGGTCAGGGAATTGGGTTTTAGTCCTGGCTGGTCAGGACCTGCTGTGGGGTCTGGGAAAGTTTCTTAGGCTCTCTGGACCTCAGAGGTTTGGACTAGCTGATTTTTAAGTCTTTTCCTGCCTCAAGATATGTTAACTTGATGAATACAGGTTTCATGTGCTGGGAGATGAAGCTGGTTCCTTCTCCCGGGAAGTCCCATCCTCTCCTTCCTCCTTCCTCAGACTCCATGGTCTAGGCCAGTGGTCAGCAAACTCATTAGTCAACAGAGCCAAATATCAACAGTACAACGATTGAAATTTCTTTTGAGAGCCAAATTTTTTAAACTTAAACTATATAGGTAGGTACATTGTTATTAACTTAATTAGGGTACTTCTAAGACTTAGGAAGAGCCACACTCAAGGAGCCAAAGAGCCGCATGTGGCTCGCGAGCCACAGTTTGCCGACCACGGGACTAAGCTGAAAACTTGGCAGTGTCAGGGGTTGGGGGAGGTGGGGCTGGAAGAGCATAAGCTAGGTGCTTCCTCTGAAGCCTCCCCCCTGTGGCCATTAATTGTGGGTGCAGGACGTGGGGGTAGTATCACTGGAGCTCATTTTCCTCCCGAGGTTGTGTCCTGCCCTGATATGTTGATAAATAAATCCAGGCACAGGATCCCTGAGTGCACTGCTGCTGGTGCGTGGGTCTTGGCTTGTCCTGCTGGATCCCGGCACATACCAAGGGAAGGGGGAGAGGACCTGGGACGTAAGCCTTTTCCCTGGAAGCCAGGCCCTGTGGGGTTCTACATGGAGCTGTGTCTTAAAGAAAAGGCAGTTCCCACCCTAGAAGCACAGTACACATGCTACAGTGCTCTTAGGGGTCCCGAGGCCCTGGCCATTTTCAGGTTCTCTAGAAGTTGTCAGAGAATAAGAGAGAAGAAAAAAAAAGGCATTCTGAACTTCAAATTAAAAGAGTAAAAATAAAATCTCCAAATTTCAAATGAAAAATCTTAAAGTCTAGTGTCTGCCTTCAATCCCCCTCTGTCTGCCTCTCCCCTCCCAAGCTTGAGTCCCTGGGTGGCAGCATGAAACCACAAGGAGAGGGGTCCTGGGATCACAGGTCCTGACTGGAGAGGCCCTGCTCTTGAAAAGCAACCTGAGCACACATGAGGGAAAATGAAGTCCAATGCAATCTAAATAAATAAAAGAAGGAGAAAAAGTTTTTAGAAATATGTGTTTACTCTGGCACGCGACAGGCCTCCACTGCTTTTGACATATTAGGAAAAATTTTGGCGGGGACCCATTGGAAGTACTTAAAAAGGCATATGTTTCTTTTCAGAATACAAGGGGCTTGGAATGTATTGTTTAAACAAAATTCTTATGAATCTTTGATTCATTTAAGAATATATATGTATGTTTGTTTCACTTGTGCTTTCTGCAACATTAACTTCCTTAACTCCCTTCCTCAGACCATTTGAAATCATTATTTTACTGACTATTTTTGCCAATTGTGTGGCCTTAGCGATCTATATTCCCTTTCCAGAAGATGACTCCAATGCCACCAATTCCAACCTGGTAAGTCCACCATCCCAAATCCATGCTTCTCTTCCTTGGTGGAGGACCGACTTGATCACGCCGATTCAGGTCGGAATGTGGGAGAGCAGGGAGGTTTGCGGGAGACGTGCCTGTGATGTATATGTAGCACTGCTGTGCTGAGGTCTTGGGGCTGTTCTGCTCTTGATTGGAAGCAGCACTTGTCTTATCACAGCCTGTGTTTAGAAAGAATATTCCAGCTAGGTGGTAGTGCGCGTGTGCGCGCGGGTTTGCGCACAGCAGGTCCTCTGGATACTGCCACATGCGGCATGTGTTATAGGGCAGGTGTTTGTGGAGTGAACTTTTATTCTCTGATCTTTTGGGGTATTTAGGTGTCTCTGTTCATTGGTAGGGCTTGGTCAGGTGGTCTGTAGTATCGCATGATAAATAATTTCTAGGAAGCTTTTAGGGAAGTTTGCTTTTGCAGCCAAGATATATTATTTAGTTAAAAGGGTTTTATTTTCTTGGGAAAGGCAGCTTTCCATTTGGACTGTTGAGAGGCCAGTGCTGGAGGTTTGGGGTTAGAATTTGTCCATGGAAAAAGCATGGGGAGTGTTTACTTTTGGCTGAGCATGAAGTCATTACAGAGGCCCTTGCTCCATCTGGGCATGGGAGGAAATGAGCTCTGGAATGCGGCTGGCAAAACTGGGGCACATGGGGATGCCTCCGCGACAGGCGCGCAGGAAAATCCTGTCTCTCCTTCCCTGGCAGAGACACCTCACGCCTGTGATTCCCATCTTCCCACGTCACCAGCACCTTCCCTTAATGAGATTGGACTGTCCTGTGCGACCGTTTCTAACAGAAGCTGCGGGGTTTCAAGGTTCTCTTTTCCATTGTTGCTGGAGCTGATGACATGATCAGTGTAATTCTTTTGCTTTTTCACCTTTGACCTTTTTTTTAGCCCTTCAGCAAATAAATCTGATGCACACTTTAAACTTCTCTGCCATTTCCCAGTTTTAGGGTTAGCCCCCACTCCGTAGTGGGCACGGTGTTCGTAGTGAGCCAGGCTCTGTGTGTATGGCTTGGCTGGGGCTGTGCTGGGGACAGGTTCCACAGCGGGCCAGGGAGCACTGAGCGATGACAGGGCCGGAGTCAGCAGGCAGAGCATTAGCTGCAATTCACGCATCCTTCTGAGGTGTGACCTTTCTCTTAACAGTGGAGAAATCATTACTGTGTCAAAATAAATATAAGCAAAGCATCTCCCAAATGGCCCTTGGAAAGGCAGACACTCCTTCCATCCACGGTACAACTTCTTTTCCGTGTGCGCATGCCCTCCCCCGAGACCCCTGCCCCTCTCCCCCACCATGGTCCTCCAAAAACCCTGTAGCTGAGCACTTAACCTGCAACTTAAAAAAAAAAAAGAAAAAAAAGAAAAAAAAAAAGAAAAGAATCCATGTGCTGTTCTGAAGCCAGTGAAGCTTTGAGTCTACTCTAGGCCAAAGCAGTGCTGAAAATAGGTAGAGGAGTTTGGTTTTGTCTCAGGCTCCAGAGATGGCCCCATAACAGTCTGCACCACAGAATTCACAGGAGGATCAGCAGGGCTGGGGAGCTGCACCAGCTGGGAACCAGGGCTGGCAGATCCATGAACCCCCTGCCTCTGGAAGCAGAGGGGCCAGCTGGAGAGCAAAGGTCGTGATGGATTACTTGAGCTAGAATGAGGTTGCCAGGTACAGAGAATGCTGAGGGACTGCAGTTTTTCAAATCACATCTAGGAGTGATGGAAGTGCTCTAAAACTAGATGGTTGCACAACTGTGTAACGTGTAACTAAAGCAGGGAAAGAAACGTAACTAAAAATCATTGTGTTGTATATTTACAAAGGGTGAATTTTATGATATATAAATTACACCTCAATAAAGCTGTTTTTTTTTTTTTGTTTTTTTTTTAAAGAATAACACCAGCATGCAAGCCCAAGCTTCTCAAGACCTCCCAGCGGCAGGCTTCTCTATTCCTCCATTCCTTCCAAATGAAGTGTTAGGTAGGTGGAGGGAGAGAGGTGGTGGAGGCAGCCAGTGAACTTTGTCAGTGATGTTGCTTTAGGAATTGGGGGTGCAGAAGACAGTGCAGGAGGGTTGAAAAGGGGCTTCTAGTTGCTAAGGCAACTCCTACCTCTTTCAAACCATGGGTTAGGCAGTGATTTACTAAATTAAGGAAGTATGCTCAAGTCTGCTCCATCTGAAACACACACACACACACACACACACACACACACACTGCCCTAATTCTGCTAACTCTATCCTTGAACCTCCTTTGATGGGAATGTATACAAATTGAAAACAATATTTTTTAAGGAAGAGGCTGCATTTGCTATCCCTGCCAGTTCAGTTTTGCTCACTCCTCAGCTCCTTGCTCATTGTCTTCCATCCCATCTCTGGAATGTAATAGAGATGGATCTCAGTTGGCAAACTCAGCAGGGAAAGAAATGTAACTTTTTTGTTACTTTCCTATAACTGAACATAATGTCTGATTTGGGGCTTCATTTGGCCTGGTGGCATCACCCTCATCTCTGTAATGCAGGGCTCTCGGTCCCTTCCCTGGAGTCGTAGCTCAGTCCCAAGGACAGCTCTAGGGCCCTGCAGCAGGGCTCTTGGCACAGTCAATCCACACTATTAGAATGGCCTTGTCCCTTCATGGTCTTTGATCCGTGAAGGCAGTGTGGTCTCTTGTTCCCCAGCACAGTGCCTCTCCAGTTCTCGATCTCTCTGTTGCTTCTGGGACTGTGGGAACGGGCAATATGGGAGATTTCAAGCGCCCTTTTGCAAGGACATACTCAGGGTCTCACTCATTTTTGTTTCCTTGCTGATGTTACCCTGTTTGCCGTCTCGGGACCTTTGTTTGGGAGAGTCGCCCAATAGACTCCTCGTGTGGTCTATTCCAGACTGTCATCATGCCCTGACCTACACTCGAACTTCAAAGTCACCTTCTGGCTCCTGTTCTCTGCTCTTCCACTGTGTCATACCTTCCCTGTGGCAGTGAAGGCCACTGACTAGATGGGGGGCCACAGGGTCAAGGAGCATTAGAAACCCCTGAAACAACCAAGCAATATCCACATCAGCTTATAGATTGGGGTATTATTCTGCTCCACGGACATAATCAACACCAGTGTTTTGGTCTGGGCCTTCCACTCCCTCTTTCCCTCCACAGCATCTTACGTTATCAAAAGTTTCTTTGCAAAATTCTTTGATCCCACTGCTTCGGTACATAGTTAATATTAAATCTCCTCCTGTCTCTCTTACCACTGTTTTTTTTCTGTTTCTCCTAGTTTCTCTCCTGCTTCTTTCTGCAGGAGCTTCTACAAGGGTTCTCTCTGGGCCCATTATTTTCTCTTTCTATACTCTGCCCTTAGTGAGCACAGCTACTTCCACAATTTTATATTCCCTTTCTAGGTAAGTTGTTCTTGGACTTATGTCTCCAACTCCAAGCTCTTCCCAAAGGCCTAGACCAGTATTTTCTAGAGCAGAGAGGCCTGAAGATCAGTACAGTGATGCCTAAAACCAGCTTGGTTATTATAACCACCTGGAGAGCTTGAACCATATGGACTCCTATGCTTTGGTAGCTCTGATTCAAATTTAGTAGTTCTGGGACATGACCTAGGAATAATCTTTTAAAAAATTCCTCATTGGTCGTGGTGGGTGTGGGTGGGTGCTAATGATCAGTCAGGTTTGAGAGCTACTGGTCTCTTGGATAGAGCAGAATTTGAGTTGGGCAGGCCTCTGTCCAAACCTTGGCTTCTCTCCTTTGTAACTGAATCTTAATCTGAAGTTCTTTAGTCTTTCTTGACCTCAGTTCCCCAGCCTGTTAGATAGAGGGGACATTCCTTCACAGGGTTCTGGGGAAGAGTATAAGGCAGACAGTGACCATAAGTACCCAGTTGTAAGTGCTGGGATGTCTTGCAAACATCCATGCCAAGACCCAGGACATGTTTGGGAGACTTAAAGAGGCAGACGTTGTATCTAACAGGGAAGATATACATGGTCTTATAAGAGGTCCGAATGTCAGGGAGAAAGCACTGATTTTTTTTTTTCTATTGGGAAGGGAATAAGAGAAGACTTCACATGGGAAGATACATTTGAATTGCATCTTGCAAGAAGAGGTGATTTCCAGACGAAAAGGGGCGGTGTATGCCCATGTGCAGATGTCTAGTTATTGTGCCCTTTATGACCAAAGGATGGGGTACCGGTTTCCAGTGAATGAAAAGAGCCAGATGATGGCCCATGCCAACAGTCGAACTTAATTGCAGGAGACCCTGGGGATGTTCAGAGCAGGAGAGTGCTGGGTCCAGAGGTATATTTTAGAAAGGGTGCTCTTTAGAAAGGGTGCGGCTTGAGGGAGGTGGCCCAGAGGGAGGCCTCACTGTTTGTGATGAGAAAAGGAAACTGCACAAGTCCAGACGATAGTGACAACGGGGATGGAGAGGGAGTGGCGGATTTAGGATGTAAACTTGGCACGACTTGTGACCAGTTGGATGTTGTTGACAAAGGAGAGAGCTGACTCCCAGGATGGTGATGTGAGTAACCAGGTGCCATTAGCCAAGAGAATGTCTTCAGGTGAAAGGTCACAGTGGGGGGGAAGGGAAGGTGGGGTACAGTTTGTGATTTGTTAAGTGAGGAGTCCGTGGAACGTGCAGATGGAAATGTACAACAGTCAGTAGATACAGGTCAGGAGCTCAGGAGACGTTCATGCCAAAGAGAGAGAGTAGGGGGAGTAGGAGGATGGATGAGAAGGAGTCACAGACCTGGCTCGGAGCACCTGTGTCGGGGTGGAGAGTGAGAGGAGGCGACCTCCATGGCTGAAACCCCAAAAGCACCAATGTGTGCAGAGTGGGTGGAGGAAGAGGAGCCAGTAGAGGGCGTGAGGAAGGGCTGGCCTGAGAGATAGGAGGGGGAAATCTGAGAGAGAGGACCCTTAGAAGCTAGGGGAACTGAGTGTTTAACAATATAACAGAGGAACTAGTTGCTAGTTCAAACTCATCTTTATAACAACT